AGTACTACGGATAACAGTATAATATTTGAATATTCTTTCATGATACTCACACGAGGACGTGGAGTAGCCATTAATGGTAACAACGTTTTTTGGCCTCAAAAAGTTATTCCGTACGACATTTCAGCAATTTCAGGTGAGATGAGCATTGAAAATGCTCTAAACATTTTCGTTAATAGATGGAACCGATCGTCAAACGATTACCAATGCAATGAATACACTTATGTACGCGGTTGGCACACCAAAGAGTGGAACGACTAGCCGTACTGCCTGCGTCTACTTTCGACCGCGACTATCAAGCGATACAAATTCTCTCATTATCCAATATGGGACCGGATGTAGTGCAACGGTAAGTAGAATTAGCACATGCTGACCGATTAGTATTCAGATTTTTGGTGGAAATGTTTACATCGAAGCCTGATCGTCAGTTCATTTTAGTCAATAGCATAGAAGTCACAGACTTCTTGAACTGGAGTAATTTTTTCTAATTATAGGCTGATATTTTGTGTACCTAAAGGTTTTATTGAGTTCTTATCGAAAGCACCATCCAGTCTTCAATCATTTGATAGATGCTGCTGTTATCAGTGAATAGCACATCTCAATCGATCGAAAAACAACGACGATAAATTTTGACTGAAGATATTGACTACTCTTTCCTAAATAATTATATGGTTTGATTCTTCCATAATGATCCTTAATATCCTGAATACTAGCTAATCAGATTTGCTGACTGACGCCATTGATACAAGTTGAGTGAGATTGTAAATATGGCATTGATCATTAATCATTTTTAGCCTTAATTACCTCAACAAATTATAAGTTTTCTAGATTCTCTCCTTGAAATTCTTCTACTCCGAGGGATTTCAATTCATTTATGCGTCACAGATTTAGCATTCCGATTCTTAGCCATTTCACATATTTACCACTTTTCTTGAATCGATTGTGTTCAACAAAATCTTATTCATCAAAATAGTTTTTCATTATTGAACTGCAGCGCGGTAACTAGCATGGCAATGTTTTCGAAGTTAATCGTGATTCGGATAAGTTTTCGGCCGATGTCTCTAAACAAACTGATTAGACGTAGGCCATCAAACTGCTAGCTCAAATGCTTGCTAAAGTAAAAACTTCATTACTGTTGGTTCGTAACATTTGCTTTGGAATCACCACGACTCTTAATATACTGAATATTTTCAATATGCAATGCAAGCTTCTTAGTAAAATGTTAGACGCAAAGCAAATCCTATTCCCTCCATTTAGATTGAAGTATTTCACTAACTTCTGTTCAGAATCGAGCCTCATTTTAATTAAGAACATGCAATCAATTATAGTAATCTGTAAGTCTATAGTTCTTGTCATTTGCAGGTTGGATTCGTTCCATATCACAGAGCAAAAATGACCCTTCAAAAAAATGGCTGTTTCCATAGTGGTACAATTCAACATGAACTCCTTCATGTTATTGGTACGATAATGTCTTCTCAATATAATCTTTAAAATTTTATTCTATACGTCAAAGGCTTCTTCCACGAGCAATCGCGTCCTGATCGTGATACATATTTGGAAATTCATCTTGAGAACGTCGAACTCCATATGGTATGTATCTTGTTTCCTTTAACAAAATGACTTGCCTTTGTATTTCAGGAACACAATTTTAACAAATACACATGGGGCGCAACAGTATACAATCAAGGCTTTCCCTATGACTACTCGTCGTTGATGCATTATGGTAAAACGGCATTCAGCGTGAACGGAAAACCAACCATGATTCCAAAAAGAGCCAATGCTGTCATTGGGCTTACTGAGAAGTTAAGCGACCAGGACATTGCTGAAGTGCGCCATTTATATAAATGCAATAGCTAGAAAATCAGTCTATTTTTCCTTTTCCACACCATTGTTCTTCTATTTCAAACATAATTCTTGTATCACTATGTTTATGAATAAACAGGGGGACCCGGTGGATATAGAGCAGTTTCATGTTTGAGAAGTGAGAATGAATAGATCTTGCATTACGGACTTCCATTCGTTTCATAAGCATGCAAAGAAAATAATATATTCAGGTTTACCGAATTTATGCTGTTGTCAAGTAACACTCGTCACCACAACTCGCTTGATCTTCGACCGAATTCGATTCAACCATCATCTCTCATCGTTTGCTGAATTCTGTTTTGAGAACTATCGCTGAACGCACACTCATACAAAAGAACTTTATAATTTTGCCAGAGATGACCATTTTGTATAAAGACCGAACCATTCTTTTGAGTTTTTCTAAAGTAAACCTTAAGAGTACCTTGCCTTCCCCCCTTTTCTGACTCAAAATTTTTGTTATTTTTGTGGTCATTGTATACTTTCAAATAATTAGTAAACTATGGTGTGGATGCAGATTTTGACATCAGTCTTTTCTTCACCGATACTCACATCCTGCACAAAATAAACTGCCATCAATAGAATCGGGTTGATGTTAGAAAAGCCAGTTAACAACTTTTTTGCCGACAATTCATTTGCACGGTAGTGCTACGTATCAAGTAACATGTTGTATTCAACTTTAAGGCAGCGTCAATACAATTCATCAGAGGGTGTGAATGAAAACAAGACAGACGCGAACATTCATATCCTTAAATGTCATTGCTCTCAATTCTTTTTGAAAGTATCATCGAATTCAAGTTAGTGGTAATAAATCTCTAGAAACAGACATCTATATTTATTCGATATTTACGTCTTCTTCAATATAAAGAAATGATTGAGAATTATCTGAAAAATCTCGTTCACAAGTTCACGAATGTTGATCTCGTCAATCAACAAGTTGTCTATGGAACCTTTTCACCATAATTGTAATCGATTTGTACATTTATCTCATGTCTATAATTTATTACGGGACAGCTCAACCAACCAAAATTACGTTGATCATAACAGAAAAATGAATAATAGATCTTTTGTGTTGAGAGAATACAGAGTGGGCCAAAAGTCACCGGACAGTCTTTAATTTCGAATAACTTTTGATAGGACCAAGATAAAAAGCTGCGGCTTTCACCATTCAAAACAGGGTCTGTTACTATGAAGTTCTATGATTTATTGAACAATATAGATTGTTGACCTAATAATCAGTTAGTGATCCTTAGTAAGATTTTGATAACTCTATGAAAAGGACATAAGAAATTCAACTGAACGAAGCGGTTTTGATTCGTGTACCCATGATTTACCCGAACGGCAACAACTAAACTTATTATCTTCTTCCAATAGAGAGTTTTAGATGCAACACTAGATAGCGACAATGACGAGCATGTTTCACAGGTGCACGATTCTAAAGTACTCTTTAGAATTGAAATTCGATGTAATTTTCATAGAACTACCAGTATTTTACCGAAGACCACTGACTGATTATAATGGTAACAAGCAACAGTGGTGAATAGTGCATGGAACTACGTAGTAACAGACCCTGTTTTGAATAGTGAAAGCTGCAGCTTTTTATCTTGATCCTATCAAAAGTTATTCGAAATTAAAGATTGCCTGGTGACTTTTAGCCCATTCTGTATTTTCATATGAATCCATAAGAAAGTATGTTGAATGAATCTCTATGTTCATTAATACTTATTTCCAACATATATTTTGCTGAACTAGAAAATGAACTTCACAAGTGTTTTCGAATCAATCATTATTTGCTGGTGTTGACTACTGATACATCTGCAATGAATAAGTCAATGTTAATGGAATTATTTCAAGTAAAAAGTCATACTTTGATTATAGCGCCTATTCCTTCTAATGTTTGATCAAACCAATCGAAATATTCAAAAAATTTTTGGATTGTTTTCAACGATGCATGAAAACCTTCGATACATTAGAAAATGCCGCTATACTAGAAGATCACCCTGAATAAACGACACAAAAAACAGATTTGAAAGCTCTCCTGCCACCTTCTAACAGCTGATTTTTTGTTTCTACATATATGTATTTCTAAGCTTTGCTTCAAAAATAATTTTCTGCTATTTCTGACGCTCAAGGTGGTTTGTACTTCTTTTATCTTATGAAAAATGTTTCTGTCATCAAGTGTCAATAAATTGTATTTTGTCTGATTTAGTACATTTTATAATAGAGATACTCGTTTTGTAAAATGTTCTTTAGTAATAGAATAATACTTTTAAAAATTATATCATTGATCGTAGCAAAAAATATGACTGATTTAAGGGATATGTTAGAAGACCCGAGGGGGAGGATGGGGGTCTTCTAATGTGTCGATCACTTTACATTATTTTCATTTGGTTGGATTCAAAGTCCATTGATTCATAGAATGTTAGGTGAGTCAATGTGTGTTATTCGAATGCTGTCGGTGTAAAAGCAAAATGCTTTGCTTTACGCATGCACATCGAATTAAATAGCAATAAGGTAAAATAGTGCTCGAATGGTGCGTAATAGAGACGAAAAATGCTTTGAAATATACTTTAGTGAGACAAACACAGTTGAATAACAGAGTAGAGAGGAATCGAGAAAATTTCGAGTTCATGAATTTACTTTCTTTGATCAATCAAACTACTTGATGATTTCATAGTGCTAAACTATTTTCTTGTTATTAAAACTATAGTACAACATTAGAATACAGAAAAAGAACAAGTATTCAAATGTTAATCTTTGTTGATGATCATCAATGTGCACGCATAGAAAGCTATTCGTATAATCGACTGGCCGATAGAGAAGAAGAAAAAGAATGAATTCTATATTTTTTTTTCTTCATCATTTTGTCATCTAGACAAGCGTAATTACTGTTGAATAACATATCAAACTAAGTAGTCTATCAACAAGAATTGTATGTCCGATCAAGAGTGGAGAAAGAAAGAGAAAGTATTTTTTTTTTAATAACATCATTACTTGTCGTGCATTGAGTTATGAGTGCGGATGGAGGTCGTAAAGAATTTACACAGTATGATACAGTCAGATTTGTTTTTTTTTTTTTTTTAGTTTTAGTTTGTTGCCAAACATCGTCTATCAACTGCTTTTGCTAAAACGTTTTTATCATCATGTCTTGTACTGAAGAGTCTGATGATCATTGGAGTTATAATGATCCATCCAAATGGCATGAACATTTTCCAGCTGCTGGTGGTATGTCTCAATCACCTATTGATATTAAGTCTCGTCATACAATCTTTCAACAATATTTGCCATTCGTATTTTCTCTTGATCATACAAATCAAATTATGTTAACATTGACAAACAATGGTCATCAGATTACTGCAATATTATCAAAAGATTTTGAAAATCAAAATCAAACGAATTTATCATGTACTGGTGGTGGTCTAAATGGAAAATTTAATTTTGTCAATTTTCATTTACATTGGAGTAGAAAAGATAGACATGGATCTGAACATGAAATTGATGGACATACATTTCCAGCTGAAGCACATTTTGTTTATAAAAATCTTGAAACTCAACAAATTGCTGTACTTGGATTTTTTTTTCATGTTATTCGTTCACATAATGAAGAAAATAGTGAATGGAAGAAATATTCACATATTGCAAGTCTATTGACAAATATTGGTGATAAAATGAATTGTACTTTCAATTTAAGTCATATGATGCAAATTGAAAGCAGACGATTTTTTCGTTATATGGGTAGTTTGACAACACCACCATGCACTGAAGGTATTATATGGACAATATTTCTTGATTCAATTTCAATAACCGAAGAAAGTTTAAATCTACTTCGTCATAATGTCATGCGAAAAACCTATCGACCAATTCAACCAATAAATCATCGAATTATTCACAGAAATTATAATCATTGACATACAAATTACATATTTTGAATATTATTGTTGTTTTGCTTGAAAAATAAAACAAAAAAAAATGTATACCTAAGATATATGTACACATTCGATCATAGTTAAAACTGTCGGGCATTGTAATCCAAGTGAAAGTTATCCAATGGAATTTCTTGGCATAGAATTTTGACGGTTGGATCCTATTCAATTACCGTTATGTTCCGACAGTTACAATCCTATACAAAGGAAATCATCGGATCGTTTTGAAATTGACAAAATCCATTAATATTTTCAATAAGATTCAATAAGATCCAACAGTCAGATCTCTTGTCAAATTCCAAGAGCTTTCGACAATCAGAAAATGTTGAAACTCATTGGATCCTATCGCTTCTATACTGAAACTACCGACCATATCTATATGAACATCATCCGTATCTTCAATAAAAACAATAACATACAATGATAATGATGTTTGAGTGCAGTTCTATTCTATTAGTTTATAATCAAGTGATGAGTGTGATAATTCATATTCGGTAGCATATATATTTACGAATCATCTATGTGATAATAGTTTTTAGCTATACCATTATTATTACCATAGACTTGTTGATCTAGTGTTCGACCAGTGGATAGCAATGTTAGATAAATAACTCATTTAATATGCGATACAACAGTCTTTAGAAAAATGTCATATTATCGACTTCTCAACCAATCAAACTTTTGTTTTGCTAGAAAGAGCAATATCTGAACTACAAATTTTGTATTAGACATTTTTTTTTGTAGAATGAATCCGATGAGGAGACCTGAAATGTTTCAAATAAATAATGAAAAAGACTGTATTTTACAAGAATTCCAGTTTTTTCAACTATTTTGATTAGAAAGTCAGTAACAAATCATAAATAAATGAATATATAAATTCAAGAATAGAAATTAAAATTTAAACTAAAAACTTTTATTTTAATATAAGTGAATTTTCGATGAATTTGTTATTTTCATCATTATCAAACCAAATACAAAAGGCAATACCACATTAATCAATACTTAATACTCATAACCTATATTTGTTTCAGATAATCTAACAATAACAAAAAATAAGAAATCCGTCGAAAATTCACGTATATTAAAAGTGAAAAAATTTTATCAAACTTGATATCGATAGAATTTTTGATCCATTCATGTAACTCAAGATAATACAGACTTTTCAAGCTCAAAAAAAAACGCTGCAAGAACTTTTCTGAAGCTGTTTACTCTTTGGCTTTTCCTCCTTGTCGGGTTCGTTCTGAAAAAATATATCTAATACAAAATTTGTAGTTCAGACAGTGCTCTTTCTAACAAAAAAAGAGTGTGGGTGTGCGAATTGATCTTTTCTTCACTCATACCTACACAACCATCCTTATATGGATACAGTAAAACTCTTACGATTCTTCTTCAAAACCGCTCAAAATCTTGTGAAGTATATTTTTTTAAGACCACAATAAATTTATATACATATAGTTTTTTATTTCTCACCATCTAACATTCTTTGGAGTTGTATGAAGATCAAACCATTAATAAAACTTCACGAGGAGAAATATCAAAGAGCGAAGTTGTTTCACATCAATTAGAATACGAATTCTGGCGAAAGAGAAAGAAAATGTGTTGAGAAGTATACGACTTTGAAGAATGTTCGCTCTACAGAAAGCATGTTTTGACAACTATTTAAGGTATTCTAATGTATTGAAATTGCTCGGATTATAAAGAGTCTGTATGGATTAGATACAAAAATTCTTCTCTAAAAGTAAAACTTACATAAAAATGGTAATTTTTTAGCTCGTAATGGATGGTAAACGATGAGTTGAGTAAAAAAAATGCCTTTGGATCTTTATAAATTCTAATGTAGTAGATAATTACTTATTTTCTTTGTGAATTTCGACAAAAGGCATAAAAAGTATATGTATATATTGTTGAAACTTTCAAAATGTTTACAAAATAACGATGCCCGATTGTTGTAAATTGCTGAGTGCAAAACTCATATAAGATTTTTGACGAAAAATTAAAATCCAATGAAATTTATCTTTGAAGTTAACAAAGAATCAAACTTTTATGGGATTCAACTTAGAACTATGTTAATCAATTGTTAGTTAGAAAAAAAAACTTGACCAAAATTTGTTTTTTTTTCTGTTTTATTACATGAAAAGAAATAAAGTTCGAGCTGATCAGCCCAGAAGAAAAATCTCTCTAGCCCAAGATGGATGGCACGTTTGTGTATAATACTTAATTAATGTTTGAAATTTGAACAAAATAAAAAGATTCAAGTATCGAAAATATTACCACTAAATTCTTGATTTAATATTATTATTTCTATTGCTTCTATATAAATACACTTTACTATACTTTCTATTCATCTTTTCTTCTTCACTTCATCCAAACAGGATATGCCTGCACTCGCGGGCAATCATAGAAAGAAAAGAAAACAAAATTTCCTTTCTCTATTCATTCATATATGTATGTATACGAATCTCGACGAAAACAAAAGGTAAGGAAAACATTAAAAAGAAAAGGACCGAACGATGAATACAATTTTTGCTTCCTTATATATATATATATATATGACTCACCACTATTGTGTCCACCTTCATTCATTTCATAAGCACACGAAAGGGCAAGAAAGAAAAAAAAAAACGTTGACACTTTTTCTCTCTTAGTCAAAGTAAGTGACAACAATTGAGAGATATTTCAACTAGACGACAGTGACCGTCGATGTACATAGGATTAATAGAAAAACAAGACAGACAACATAAGTTTAATTATTGAACGTTAATATTTTTATTTACATCAAGCTCAGACAGACTTATTTTGTACATTTCTCTATCGCGTCTGATTTTATTCCATGTATATGAATAATATACGGTAGCAAATACTTTCCGTTCATTTGATCAAAAATAATAATACCGTTAGTGCAATCTCTACAGGATTAAAATATGAAATATGATGTGTCTACTATTGTCAATCACAGAGAGATTATTTTATAACATATTTCGTCACTATAATTTTAATCCTTCAGAGATTTAATAAGAAAGTAGTTCTCATATGTCATAACAAGATGTTGTTGATGTATAGTTTTTGATCGTATATCAACGTCTATGGGAAATATACTTCAACACTCATCTTAGATTGTATGTTACAATAATCATAGTAAGGAAAAAAACAAAGAAAATAAGATCTGATTATTTGATAATGTCTTAGCTCATTTCTAATTCAATCGTAGGATTAATAAGCATGTATTTCTAGTTCACGACATAAGAGATTTAATTTAACCTTGATCTTTTGATATAGAATTGTAATAAAATTTGATACGATGAACATTTGATAAGAAAAGAAAGACAATGGTAGTTATAATGAATAAGATTAATGATAATTGTCAAACAGCAAGAATTATTCAATGGCTTGGTGGTGAACGTGCAGGTGAATTTTACATATTTTTTTGTATTTGAAAGAAAATTGAAAAATTTTATATACGTATATACATTGATTTAATTTAGTTGATGTACCAAATGATTTTGATATTACACCGTTATCTAAAGAAGATCTTGTTGATCATGAAATAGTTTCATCAAAAGTAGAATGTATTGAATTACTTCGTGTTGCACCAATCGTAAGTAATGTTCTTCATTTGACTAACATTCTTATGTTCATTTATAAGTCAATTCAAGGTTTTCTTTTACTATTAAAAAAAAAAAAGAAGCTATATCCCTCATTTATTTCATGTCAACATTGTTTCTTTCTATGTATGTTATTTCTAGAACAAACATGTTACTACAACATTTAAACGAGCCTGTTTACTTCATCGTAGTCTAAATCGATTATCGCCCGATGCACAAACATCGGATGAAGCTTATTGTACTTTATCGTCTCATCATAGTATACAAAATAATCATACAAATAATTTAATACGTAAAGGATCAACGAGTGATAGTAGTAGTTTATCAACTACAACACCTATTTGTACATCATCACCAATTTTATCAATATCAATTGATGATATTTATAATACATTAGATCATACAAAAAATTCAATTAAAATGAATGAAAATCCAATTAAAGAAAATTTTAGTCTTTTAAATGAAATAGCTCAACAAAATGGTCATTTATTACCAATGATAATAAATAATCAAGATCATTCAATCGAATTAACTCGTGAAATTATTAATAATAGTGAACAAGATTTTAAAGATATGGTTGAAGAATTTATTCAATTACTTGAAAAAAAATTATCTGATACTGAAATGACGATATTTGATACGAAGTATGTTATAGAAGTTTTTAAACCATAGAATATTGACACTATAATCTTTAGTTTTACGATTAGGACAACAATTCTCTCATGGTTTTGATCTCGTATATCTTTATTTTCGTTGTATCCACTATACATCTATGATGTTATGTTATAAAGCTTACAAAGGAATCTCTCCAGACGTGATCCGGATCCGGTTACATGTTTTTGTGGGCTCACTGCTCCTCAGATAAGAAATACAGCAACAAAATATAACTGTACGTTGAGGTTTTTTTCTGAAAGTAGAATATAGATAGCTAAAACCTTGATCCTTTACTTGTTCATTTACACGAAGGGTGCCAGATGTTGATGGAAAAACCCTCGGGTTTGAACCCGCAGTTTTCCATTAAGAATACAAATTGCACAATCAGCTAATCTCATTAAGAACTTTATTTGTGCAAAGTTGGAAGTCGATTTTTCACGTAACCACCGGTTTTTTTTTGTTGAAAAGCTCATCTCAAGAATGAAGACCCGAAAAATTAAACCTTTCTAGACTTTTTTATTACTCATTCAATGAACATTGTCTTAATCGAAAAACGGTTTGACACTTGAAGTGATTTCCTCATCCGAAGATTTTTCTATTTTTACTCTCAGATAAGAATAGAAATGTTACAAAATGTTAAATTAAATCAAAAAAAAAAACTTACTATTTAACAATATGAAATAATAGAATTAACATATGATTAAATATTTACCATTAAGCTTTAATTTCTATTCAAAGATTTTTATGGTTTCATTCTAGTACAATAAGACCTTCATCTCCATCATTATTTGATATGCTTAATGATCTTAAAACATGTTTAACATCATTACGTCGTACAGAAATAGAAAGTCTTTTAGATGTATTTGATAATATTCTTAAATTACATTGTTATCCATCGGCATTACCAGAAAATGATCAAACAATTATTAATAATATTGAATCTAATGATGAATTATTAAAATTATCACAATATGCTATTGATAAATTAAAAATAGTTAAAATAGAAAAAAATCATCAACCATTAGGTTTAACAATATCTCGTACTGATTCAGGTACAATTTATATAGCACGTATTGTTGTTGGTGGTATAGCAGCAAGTACAGAACTTTTTCAAATAAATGATCGTATACTTGAAATAAATGATCAACCAATAACAGGTCATTCACTTGATTATATTTGTACATTAATATCAAATATAAATGGTTTAATTAAATTTCTTCTTGCACCACCAATTAATTTAAATCATATATCATATCATACATTTCATGTACGAGCATTATTTTCTTATGATCCATTTAATGATCCATTATTACCATGTAAAGATATTGGTTTAACATTTCAACGTGGTAATATATTACGTATTGTTGCATATGATGAAAATTTTTTAAATAGAAATGATTCATATACTAGTTGGTGGCAAGCATATCATGAAAATTCTTATGAAAAAGAAACTAATATATGTTTAGCTGGTCTTATACCATCGGATAATTTACAACAAAAACGTGCTAATTTATTTAAAATTATATCTGATGATATAGATTCAATATCAACATCAACATCATCATCATCATCTAATAATAGTAAAAAGAAAAAACGTAAAACTTGTTTTACTTGTGTTAATTCAAAACAAGAACGAAAATCTTTACAAATAGCTTATAATAATATAACATTTATTCGTGATAATGATGATAAAGAAACACCAACTATAAGAACATCAACAAATCATTTTTCATTAACAGATACAAGAAAATTTGGTGATGAACAACCTTCAATAACATTAAGAAGATTTTCAGATAAGAATAAAGATATACCAATTGATTGTTTTCGTTTTTATGAACTTGTCTTTCGACTTGATCTTTTGACACAACAAATCACACGACCTATTGTTTTATTAGGTAAGAAAGATAACTAATATATTTTTCATAGAGGCATAACTCAGTACTGAAGATAGGAAGGATGGTCTTGTATGGATTTTAGAAAAAAATTTTTAGTTGATATACTGAAAATTCAATTTTAAATTATTTGTCATTCGTTTTTTAATATTATTCGATGAGCACTACCCTCTTACTAGTAGTATATGTCATAAGTGTCTTGTCGACTACATGCACATTTCAGGATAAGGTGCTTTTGAATGTTCGATTAACTAACAGATGAAAACATAAACATAGGAAGCTGAGCTACAACGATTAAGTAGTTCATTACAAATCTTCGTACAAACATCAATATCCTTCTTCGCCGTTATCGGAAGTTTATAATAACATTTTCTTAATCAAATAGACTGAGTAAATATTGAAACATACATTAGCAATGATTTGAATTAGAGATACTATATTATAATTGAAAGAGAATTATACAGAAAATGTGAATCTAACTAACTAGAATTTGCCGAAATTTCCCGTCGAGCTAGAAGAAATCATAGAAAAGATTTGATTTTTTTCCTATCAGAAGAAAATAAGATGTTCCTAAGCTCTCCATCATTTATCTTCAGCAAACAACAATCATTGATCGGAGATATAGAAAAATTAAACCTTGTCAACATTGAACAAACTCACGATAGAATATCATTTTGTTTGTGAACATTTCTGCTTTGTCGTTAAAATTTCTTTTTTACTACTGGTCCAGTAATTGAATAAAGTAATCCACTGACATTTGTTCTATTACACAGGTATTCAAGTCCTAGTTAGTACTTTCAATAACGAAAATTTAATATTGGTTATATGCATCTTGTAAAATCATTAATATTTATTATATATATATATATTCTTCTTCTTAGGCGCACCAAATGTTGGTCGACATGAATTACGTCGTCGTCTTTTACAAACAGAACCAAATCTTTTTGATGTTGCTATACCTCATACAACACGTGCTCGTCGTTTACAAGAAACTCCTGATATTGATTATCATTTTGTTTCTGAAGCTGATTTTTTAGCTAAAGTTGCATGTCATTCATTTATTGAATTTGGTCAATATGATCATGATTTATATGGTACATCAATTGATGATATTCGACAAATTGTTGAAATAAAACGAAAAATTTGTATATTAAATTTAAATCCAGAAACAATACGAACATTTAATAAAACAAATCTTTATCCATATATAATATGTATTGCTGCACCATCACTTGAACGTCTTAAACGTTTAGAACTTGATCGTCGTGAATATTTAACTGATAAAGATTATCGTGAAATTATACGTAAAAGTCGATCTATTGAAAGACGTCATCATTTATTATTTGATCAAATTTTAATTAATAATGATTTAGATCGAACTTATTTAGAATTACGTGATTTAATTGTACGAATACAACATGATAATCAACAATGGATACGAACATGTTATCAACGATGATTATTATTATTGTTCATTTCTCTATTAAAAAAAAATTTTTGTATATATATTAATTTTGCTTTTTTTTGTCTTGAATAATAAGAAAAATAAAATGAAATTTATTGATTTGCTGCAAAGAAATATATGTTGAATACATGAACGACTGTTGACATACTTTGACTTCAATATTCATCGAATTATTATCTTACAGTCTCTATAAGTAAATGTCTAACAAAGAAAGTCCCTCAACTGTTCAGTCGACACTAAGTGCATTATGTAGACTCAAATGAGTTATGAATACCTTGAAATGTGTTCGTGTCCTTAGGTTATTTCAATCTACATAATACATATAGTCTCGACTGAATTGTATTTCCGACGAATAAAAAGTCAATTCTATAAATAATACATATTGCTTAAGAGAACTCCCTTTCCAAGGTTTCTCAAAAACGGTTTAGCGAAAATTTTTGAAACTTTCAAGGTAGATAGATCTCGATGAGTAGAATAAAAGTTGTCATAGACTCTAATTCCCAAATGCTTCCTGTTGAGAGACCTTGGGAGTCAAGGGGCAAAAATGACGTGAAGTTTTCTCTCCTGCAAACATCCATACTGCGTTATTTAGGGCTGAAATTTTTTTCTGTGTCAACTAGAAACAAATCGGAGTGCGTGTTTTATTTTCTTTGAAAAATATTGTTTCTGAGGCTCAGGAGAAGCACAACAATGGAAGTATTATCAAAAATCCACGAAAAAAAATTTTTTTTTTGAAATGATGCTAATTTTGTAAAATCTACCAAACTTGATAGGTACAGTATTTTCAAGAGGAAAAAAAACACGTACCCGAATTTGATCGAAGTACTTATAAAAAAAAGTTTAAGCCCAATCAGTCGAACCGTCTAGAAGAAAAGAGGGAAAAAACTTCAATTTTTCGTTTAAAAAATCTGATTTTGAGAAAATCGCAAAGAAAACTGCACTTTTTAGCATAAAATTAAGGTTTTTTTCGAGTTTTTTCTATGCAAAAAGATAATTTTACCTTCTTAAAATCTACTCATTAGATAGAGAGTATTGAAATCAATATATACTGAACATTAAAAATAAAAAATGAAAAAAACTGAAAATTTTGGATTGGGAAGGGAGAGGGTCTCCTTAAAGTCATCTCACTCAAAAAAAAAGGTCAGTTTTCGTCAAAAAAATAAAAGTTGAGATAAATGCATGAGAAGATAGCCCGGCATCTGATCTTTCATAAACAATATGATTTCTTTTTATGGGACACCTCATTTTTTCCTATTCTCTGTAGGCTTTCATTCTTTTTTTTTTTTATTTGGAAGAGCAAGACATAGTCACTTTTATGAATTAAGCGTTGTTATTAATTACAAGAAAAGAAATTTTCATTCTTTTTCTCCACTGTGAAAGTGATTATGTCATGTCCTACATCCTGCCATGCACTTTGTTGAATATCTCTCGAAAAAATGTAATGATATAGAGCTGAAAATTTTATGCAATTCGAACTTCTTCTCCTGACACAAAATCAATTTGTTTCTAAGAGGAAAGGGAGACTAAAATAATATATGTTCAGATCGATCTCGTCAAGATGGGCTGAAGAGTAATGATTAACATTGTTGAAAAAATTTCTATTCTATTAATAGATGTCCTAGTTATTGTCAAAATCTATTTCATAATATCTCAATCCATTTATACTACATAATTTTTATTACATTAATCATTAGATTCTGAGTTGATATGAAATATCTAATAGATCAATAATTGATGTTCTTTATTCCAATGAACATTAAAATATAAACAATTCTGTTCTGTTTTTTTTCCACAATATTGACTTCTGTCAGATTAAATTAAATGTACCATCAACAAGAGTAACATTATTTACTTTAATCATTTATATCTATTTTTGAACGCATACTTCAATTGCTTTTTTTATTATATATATATATATTCATATACATATAGAAGTAATCAAGACATTATTTGTATATTTATCAATGCTATACAATTCATTGCATTCCATACATATACGAACAAATCGCATGTCTAAAATATTTCAATCGATTATGATTGATCATTTTGACATAAATTTTTAGTCACGAAATTTTGTTTAACCCATAGCAATACTGTGAACTTATTTTTTCTAATTATTTGAAATAAATTAAGTATGTCACATGAAAATGATCAATAATAAAACTGTGACTTATACGTATATCAATATCATATAAGCTGTTAACAAATGTCTTGATTAGAATGTAAACCGTTCAAGAAAAAAAAATCATCAATCTATATGCTCTCGAATATGTCATCTGTTACTATACTAGATAATCGATAACACATTTCACATTTGCTTTTTTTTTCTTTATCGATTCAGGTAAAGAAATTCATTGTTTCCTGTATATCATTTTATCATCATATATTGACCTTGTACAGTCCTATTGTCCATTTTCTCATCAAACACTTCATCATGTTCAATGCCATTAGTACATTTATTTCAATTGACATAAAAATGATGAATTAAAACACCATGAATAAAAGCTATTAAATGTATATAATATGTACATTGTTCTATTTTCACCTTTTCACCTACTTCTCTTAAAAGAACTATGTTCAAGGACTATCATCGTTTTTATATATATATATATATATATATTTATAGTTGTTTGTTGATCAACGAGTATATTACATAATTATGCGTTCTCATAGCCTTGAAATTACTCTTGTATATATACATATATATTTTCATATGAAAGAAAGAATAAGCAAATGAAAAAAAAAAGAAATATGATCTAAGTAGGCAAGCTTAGGTTAGTTCCTTGACAATTTCTATTGATTCGACTGCGAGCGATTGCGATGAGGCTTCTTATATTTGTATACTCTATTGAAGTGGTTAGATATTCAATTCAAAATTGTTCATTCAGTATAGAATTTCATGCTTACTCTTCTTTTCTATTCTCAACAAATCTCTTTTTTAATTCGTATTGTCCTTTCTCTTAATTGTCAAACATTGTATAGAATCAGTGAAGTGACAACTTTGCAAAAGTATAGAGATAGATAATCAGAGTTACCCACACGCCATAAATGATTATTATTATTATTATTATTATTCTATGTTGATATTACATAATATTTCTTTATCGTGCCTTCTAGTTGTTGTTATTGGCGCCAGTCCTATTATAGAATGATATCAATCTTGACATGTGTATGTAAGCTGTGTTTCTTTCTCATCGTATCTGAACAGTTAATTGAACTTTTCATGAACAAAATGTTCATCTGATTTGACATATGTCAAAAATTTTAGAAGGATATTTTTTATAGAGTTAAAGTATATTTGATCATACAAAAGGTGAAAAGATATTGTAATGATAAATCATGAAACTAGTTATGTTTTTTTTTGTTTTGAACGTTTCTCGTTGTCTGAGAAAAATTCTAATAATTGGAAAAGGAAAAGTGAGTAAGTCCGTATGTACACCTGAATAATGTCTATTCACATCCTATATGTTCAATATTTGAATAAGAGAGTGACAGACTCTCGTGTACAATTTTTATTCTTGCTTTCTCTGTACATACCTGCATTAAATACATCGTTGATTTAAAGGTAAGAACGTAGAGAGGAAAAAAAAATACGTTATCATACGCCGACGGTCAATTGATGTTAACCTTTGCTTATGGATGAGATATCCGTATGTATGTATGCATGTTGATTTAGTCGTAGTATAGTCACCATCAAGTTTTGATAAAACAAGGAACAAAAAATAAAAAAGGTTATTCCAGATTTATTCTTTTTTCTATGATGATAATGTTGATCAGATGAATCTCATACGTATGGTATGTATTCTTTTACATCGAATATATCTATTGATTGTATGTTTATATTTAGCATCGATGTGCCAATGTCAATTGCCTTTCTCAACAAAAGGAAAGTATTGATGATGGTGATAATAATAAAACGACATTTACTCGAAGAGTTTATCAGGTAGATGCAACAACGATATGGTATGAAGATGTTAAGCTTTAGATAATCGAGAGAAATTTTACGATTTGCTTGGTTTTTTTTTTTGTTAGTCAACTTATAAAACGAAATGAAAATAAATGTTTATATAAATCATTTGGTCAAGTTCTTTATTTGGCTTCAATAGATCGATTAGGAAAGAAATGTAATCATCAAAATGATGATTTATTATTAATCAATGCACCAGATTTAAGTAAGATTGATAGAAAGAAAAAAAAAAAGAAACCTGTTACGTGTGTGTGTGTGTGTGTGTGTTTTTTGTTTGATAGTCTCTATTGCTATTCATTGGAATACATCTCAGTGTACGACAAGTGATGTTGAAGATTTTATTTCGATTATCGAACCAATTATTCATTTACGAGAAGTACATATGTAGTAATAATTTGATAAATAAATTTCTTTTTTTATTTTTCTTTTTTCATAGTTATTTTATGACGTTGCTATAAGTGACGCTCGTATTAAACAACTTAATCTCATTGGTCTCATTTGTTTTTATGGTAGTACTATTGAAGTATTCTTTTCCTATGATCATACAACATTACAATGGCTCTTTTGTTTTGATGGAAATATAACAATAGTCACGAATTGGAATGCTGTTATAAGAAAATGTATCGATTTTCATCTTCAACCATTTCTTCTTATCTATGCTAATTCCCAACAACATCCTGTTGATATAAGTCAATTACTTAAACGAACTGTGATTCAAGCAAAAAGTAATAAAGATATTTTTCTTTTTCTTTTTTTTTGAATTATAAGAAACATGAAAGATAGACTTGAAAATTATGATTACATCATTAATAGTACAATTTGTTCTGTCTATACAATCACAATAATAGATCTCGCCTGGCTATTACTTTTGTTGTATTACGATATCTGTACATTGTTGAAGAAGAAGGAGAGACAGAGAGAGAGCGAGAGAGAGAAAGAAATAGAACAATGATGAACGGCAAATGTGTATAGTTTGTTGTTGTTCATTCATTTTTTTTTTCTTCTCTTATCATTTATTGTACATGAT